GCTGACTTGAAGGTATCCAGCTTCTCAAGATGTTCCTTCACAAAGTCAGCATTAATGGAGGGCAGGGGATCACCCTCACCCGGACTTCCCGGCCCTGTAGCGGGCATGGGCGTCCCATGGGACTGATGAAAGACCGACGCAAAGTACCTATTTAATAGGTTGGCTTTTTCCTGGGCGTCAGTTGTCAGTTGCCCCATCTGGTTCTGCAGGGGTCCAATGTTGCCCCTGCTTTTCCTCCGGCTCCCCACATATCTGAAAAAGGACCTTTTATTGTCCTTGATGCTCAAAGCTAGCTGGAGTTCAGTTGCAGCCTTGGCTTTCCTGGTCTGCTCCCTATAGGACCGGACCAGTGCAGAATAATCCTCCTTGGAGGTGACTCCCATCCTCCATCCATATGTAATGAACTGCCTAGCTTATTGCTAATTTTTCACAGTACTGTACTTAAGTTTATATTAAACCAAATTTCAATCCGATTTGCTACTAGTTTTTGATCAAATCTCTTCTAACTAGGAAGTGAGGTAGTTTCACCCTGCCAAGAAAGTAATTCTTGGAAGTAATAGTATGGCCATTATGCATTTAGAAACATCCCATGGAGTCAATGGAATAATTCAGGAGGAAACAGGAACAGGTGAAGTCAGCAGAGATGATCAAAAGTAGCATAAGACAACCAAATGCTACAGTGAAGGTTTCAGCACAGTTCAATGAGTGTGGTCCAATCTTCCCATGACATTCGCCATCCCTAGTCTTCCAAGCAGACAATTTCAGACCTTCATACGCTGTGTGTGTAACAGGTGAAAGAAGCCGAACTGGACCAAACTGTTTATTCACAAAAAACAGCAAGTTCTGCTGAACTTTATCACTGTTTCTGTCAATTATATGGCTCCCTTTTAATTGGTTTCCTGCAATATCAGAATATTCTACATTTTATTACATTCTCTGGACATGAAGAAAAATATTTTAAGTGCCTGCCTGGTAGGTTAGGCCTTGTACTGGCAGACAGATGCACAAGAGTTCATACCAGGGTCATGCAGCCTCACTACAGCAGCTCTGCTTACACTCGCCTTGGCAGGCACTAACTGGTAAAGGGGACACTGCTGGCAGCAGAAAGCATAAGGAAATAAGCATATGCCTTCTGACAGTTTCCCTGTGGCAACAGAAGGTTTCTGTTCCTCCCAGAGCAGGCAATGCTCTGCAGACAGAATGAAAGGGGGCTATGAATACAAATATATCCTCACATTTGCCTGCAGCACTGAAGTTCTCCTGGCAAAACTAAGCAATGTAGACTAGACCTAGGCCCCAAGAGAAAGAACTATCCATTACTGTGCCACCTCAACCCATTGCTTCCTCAACAGCCCTGGAGAAAAATAAAAAGAACAGATTTTGCAACATACTTAGAAGGTGAATTCCCCTGAGATCTGGCAGCCTACATCAGACAGCTAGTTTCAAAACACTGGCCTTCTCACAAACAATGCAGCAGTGGCTCCTTCTGGTTTACAATGAGGAAACTCCAGCTCTAACACTTCTGCTGATCAACTGTGGCAATAGATCACCAGGAGAAAAGATTTCTCAGTAACTAGGTCCCAAACTAATTAAGGATTTACGCTGAGTCAAAACCTTGCAGTTCAGTCATAAACTACTGCCTGCCAGGGCAGATCACAGGGCACCAATCTAGTGAGTTCTCACTGCGCAGCTCCACTGACTTAAGCAGACTGCAGCATTCTGCACTACCTTGAGCTCCCAAATGGAGCAGGGCAGAATGCTCTGCAGGAGCCCAATCTCTGGATAACAAGAGGGGATAATTGTGATCAAGGGCCTGCACTGGAGAGAAGAGACATTTACCTTTCCAAGTGGAGAGGGAGAGATAGTGCTGTGCTCCTGGCCCATCTGCTAACAATTTGGTCACCCAGGATCTAACCACCCTAGCCTCACACACCTGTTTCACATATGGCAACTGCATCCTTCTTATCAAAGGCAACATTGCCTTCTCCAAGTCTTCCAAATCCCTTACACAATTCACATTCATTTTCCTAGTATACTTTTTTTGGATCACCTGCTCAGTGAGCTAATCAATTCTACCACCATTGTTTGGTGGCAATTTCAAGCATTCAAAAATCAATTTATCTTGCTTATTTTCTCAGCCAACGCAAATGAACATAAAATATTCCCAATCAGTCTCCCAGAGCTCCAGCCACAACTTGAAGCTGCTCCACTATTACGAACTGCAGTGACACACAGGTGAACATAATGCCCTGCTACCTTCCCTGTGGGAGAAGCCTCTCCAGATAACAGCTGGCAAACAGGGTACAATTTACAATCCTCAGCACCAGTTCTGCAAAACCTTATTACATTGTAGACAGCACAAAAGACATCAGCCTGAAATGCTAACTGAAAGCTAAAAGAAAGCAGCAGAAGTACTTTAATCTGATATGTTTATACAAAAAAAAATCATTTATAATTATGGTATCAGTGTCATCTTAAGCCCATTAGCACATTTCAGTGAATAAATCAACATCTCAAGCTATGATTATTATTTAGTCAAGATGGGATAATCCATCTCTGTGGGAGGAAGAATAACAATGCAAATAATAGGAAACCAAGTAGTTATCTGTCTCATGTGAAACTGGCAGTACTTTTCAAAAAGCCTTGGAAGAAAGGTGGGGAGGAGGGGGAGCCAGAAAAGAGACGGCTATGATAGACCAGCTTCTGAGAGCGCTTGAAATTGCCTGATCTGTCTGAATTTAGGATCTATGCTGAAACCCATTACCTACAAGAGCCCAGCAGCCTCAGGCAGTTAGGTTGTCCCTGGGAGTCAGGAAGTCTGAACTTAATGAAATGACCAGGCACATTTTTCAAGCAGTGCTCAAATTTAGGAGTAAAGAGTGTTTTGTCAGAATCACTTTTCTCACTACTGCTTTATGAGGAAAATTGTTAAAAAGGAAATGGGGACCAAATTCACTCATTGCTATAGAATATAACAGTACTTTGACTTGATAGAACTGCCATTAAAGTTAGCTAGAGGGGGCTTTTGGCACTCATTTCCTGAGGAGATTCTCACTACACATGGTAGACACAGTCTTTCCTCTAGTGTCGTTTTCCCCTGTGTAATTGAGAACTGTTTTCACGATGGAAGCTAGGATCTATTTGCTGAACTGCCCGATGCTCAACTTATACGCCAGGTGAAGTTACTCCAAGAGGATCTATTTCCTCTCCTGAATCAGTTTTTTTCCTGGGTAAAAAGGTATCTCATATTCTAATAAATCCATCCTTTCATTTTCACTTTTATGATAAGGAGGTACAATCCAGATTTCAGACCACTTGGCATATGTCTGGCCCAGCACTGGAATCTGTGCAAAATAATTCATTTTCTTCTATATATGGACCTTGTAATAGAAACTATGAGCCCACTGAGCCATTCTCCTGAATTCTGATGTATTCACATCTCCAGTTAATGGGGATTTCCTTGGTTTTTGAAACTAGTATGTGCAGCTCTTTAGTCTCTCATGATGACAGGTTTGTACAAAATCCCTCGAGGCTTTCTGTCACTAGAAATAGGAATCAGTCAATATGGTTTCCTTGGATGAAGGATAATTGCTCACTGTGTATTTTTTGCTTTTATACAGAATTCTGTCAGCTGCTTCTGTCCTGACCTAACTGCATCCCCCTGAGCAGGGAGAGCGGTGATGAAATTCTCAAAGGCTGTTTATTTTGAAGTGGTTCTGTCCTACCCAATACACATGCTTTGAGCATCTATTCTAGTAAGCGTTTGAGGAGCAATCGGCTCCCTTCCCAAGGAAGCAAGGTCAAACATACTCAGGAAGATGACAAGGGGAAATGTAGCAGTGAGGCCCTCATGGTTAGTTTAATTAGAATGGCTTGCCCCTACCTCCAAGAGCAAACTTCTTTCAAATGGCAGGTTCTGATTTTTCTTGTACTAGGGAACTGACACCCCCAAAGCAGGCACACAGTCAAAACGGAATTCTTCATGGAAATATAAATTACTGGGTACAGACAGTTAAGAGCTGAAGTTCTTTGGAAACTGGCTGTTTAAATATACAACTACTGAAATCTCCAAATTGTAGTTGGAAAAGGGGTAGGGGGCAGGGAAGAGGGCATTTTAATTATGATAGCTAGGAATTTTTATAGAGGAAGATAACTTGGGAACAGGAGCATCAAAAATCTGGCCAGCAGAGCAGATCCATCCAGTCCACTCAGCTATTAGAAACTGGGGGTGTTGCCAGCAGAGGGAGTGACCTGGCACAGAAAGCAACTGCCTGGCCCGCAGTGGCCAGTGCTACCACCACTGCCTCCTTGAGCCCCAGGGCCCCAAGGGGTCCCATGGTCCAGATCCAGTCTGGGGCATCAGGCTAGTTTGACACCCCTGCTCTTCAAGATGCGTTTAATTTCTGGCTGACAGGTGGAGACACCCCAGCTCCCAGATGGTGCACAGCGCCCTGCAGAGCCGCACCGCACCGCACCTGTGCAATGCAGCAGTTGCCGCTTTGGCGCCAAGTGGGATGGGGGGTGGGAGGGGGGTGTTCCCCACTGTCCCCCTCTGCCCCGTGCTGCGTGGGAAGGCTCTGCCACGAGCCCCCAATCGTTGCTGCTTCAGCTGGTGAGCGTGGGGCTTTTTTTTTTTTTTTTTTTTTTTTTAAAGTGCTGGGAGGCTGGGGCCAGGCAGGGGATGGAGCTAGATTCACTTATGTCTACAGAAATAATGGAATACAAGAAGTTTGACTGCCTTAAAAAATAAGACAATTAACTTATGTCATTGGTAGATTAGAGGAACTAATTTATCTCAAACCTTTTCCGTCTTTCACAGGTATGACTTACCTTTGCTTCCATACTGTTCCAGAGGCAAATCGTAAGGAACAGGAAAAGATGCCACTGACTCTTGATTTTCTGAAAAAAAATTCTCCTTCACATGGAAGTAATCTGTATCCAACTGCTGTGGAAAAATACACAGAAAGAAATGAGAGAGATGCATTCGCTTTGTGCAAATAAAATGCTGTTTCAAGGAAAAGTCTCCCTCACCAATGACCAGCGTAGTTTTAAAAGAAGTTTGCTTCTCTCTTTTGGGCATGAAGTAAAATATCAAAACATCCCCCAACCTTAGAAGTCCAGACTTGCTTCTCTCCTCTCTTCCCCCATCAGCTTGGCATTGATCCTCCTAGTCTCTTAAGCCTCTGCCAACTCTACCAATCCAACTCCATACTCAGAAGCAAGGCCCTAAGCCCAATTTTCCATACTATCTAGGTAACTGCAATTAAACTGCCTGATACACTTGTAGGAACTAGAATAGGCAGTGTATCCCATCATAACACGGGGAGATGTTTTGAAAAACATGTAGAAGGCTGGACCTTCCTCAAGGGAACAACTTTCTATTTTATTTTTTAATGAATTATTCAAAACTAGGCCCAACCAAAATGTTGAGGACCTTTAAATGCATATGAGCATAACATAATTTAGTTTATTAACTGAAAAAACTGAAGCCTTAAAAGGACTGAAGACTATACTAATCCAAAAGTATTTCTAAGCCTAAAAATAAACCTCCAAGCTCTGCAGAACACACAGCTCTCTACAAAAGCCTTAAGTAAATTCTGTCATGTGTCTTCATCAGAGCTGTAGTGTCTGTTAGCCTTTGGCAAATGGCTTCGTTCCCTGACTTTTGCTAGATTCTGGATTAATTGACTGTGTAATAGTACAAGCAAACAAGGCAAGAAGGTAGGAGCTCAGGCCTTCCTTAAGAACAAGTGAAAACATAGCTTTCCACATAGGGAGAAAATAAAAAAAGGCACTGGCCGGATAACTGTGGGCACTAAATTACATTTTTAGGGCCTACTCTAGGACCTTTAAATTTAGTGGGAGTTTGGCCAATAACTTCAAACTTAGACTTTGGCTCCAAATATAAATTAACCTAAATGCAAAGGACTGACTGACAAAGAACTTCCAATTTAATACCAATCAACTTCTGTATATGTAAGATTATAAGAAAGCTGGTATCAGGCACATATGAAAATGTTCAGTTGGATTACAGAGCAAAAAAGAGAGAAGTCAGATACCTAACTATTGCATTATGAAAGATTTTGTGGCAAGCAAGTCTTGATTGTTTTCACCTTCAGGAGACTTCTACTGTTAGGGCTCGAGAAAATTTAAGCTGCAATGCAAGTGAGCTCAAGTTCATAAATCAGGGCTGGAGCAGAACAATGGCATCTAAAATATCCTTAGGATTTCCTAGTTCATAGAAAGTGGAGAGCCTACAACCAGACTTTTTACATACAACCCCTCTCACCAACAGATCTATTAGTATTAGTTCTACTGTCTTTTTTTTAATTGGGTGGGATCAAGTTGCAATCATTAACAACATTTTTAATTGCAAGCTGCGATAGGTCCAATCAAATCACATAATTCAGGACACAAGCTGACTGACTGTAGAATTCTCTCACACCCTCCACATATAGTATCACATAGTTGGCTAGATCAAGGATGTCAAACTTTCAGTCACGTGAGCCAGATGAGGGGTACAGAGCTGGTCTGCAGGCTGGACTGGCCCACATACTAGCTTTGCATACTGGATTCAGCATGCAGGGTTCTTCTGGTGCTGGTACTGAATGCAGTGTGTACCCTGGCCTCGATTGCAACATGCAGCAGGCCTTGGCCCAGTGCATGGCATGCCAAGCTGGTCCAGGGCATGCAGTGTACATGGCAGGCAAAGCCAGTCTGGGACACGTGCTTCGTGTGGTGCCCACACTAGATAGGCCCTGCATACTGGATTTGGCAGATGGAGCCAGGTTCTGGGCCCAATGTGAACCAGCCCCCAATCTACTGTCCAGGGCTGGTCTGACATAGGCAGTGCATGCCCTGGCCTAGCCCTGTGCTGCATACAGTGCATATGTCACCTTCAGTTTAGTGTACTCCATGCAACATATAAGGCTGGAACTGGTATGTGCTGTATGCAGCATGTGGGGCCAGTCAGACCCACAGGCAGCATGATAAGGCTCCAAGGCCGGTATCCAGCCTACAGGCTGCATTTTTGACACCCCTGCGCTAGGTGAATTTGGAAGTCTTTAAAATTCCTCTGGTACATCAGATAGCGGTTTCTGACTATCATGATACAGAACAAGAGATTAATAGTCTGACCAGTACTAGCAATGATATAGTTTCATCCATATGACCTCAGACCACAAGGAGAAATGCAGTTTGAAATTTGAAAAATAACTGCCCAATAGAGTTGCTCAAGTAAACCAGCCCAGCAATTTGAACCAATTCAAATAAACTCTGAACAAAAAAAGCATTCTGCCAGCACCTCTGTTGCACACTGGAGCTTAAAACAGTGCTTCTGAAGCAAGCAAGCAAATAGAATAATGCATATAATAAACAAACATGCAGTATTTAACCTTCTAGGATTTATTGTTGATGTCTTCTTTACCTCTGACCTTCCTTCTTAATTCCTTTATTTCTCTAACTCCTCTATTACCTGTCTCTTTCCTTTTGTCTTTAAAAAGATTAATTTCCTTTTAAGATAAGCCGGGAAGCATTTTTCTGTTCTGTATTGTCTTGTCCTGTTACATTATGTTTTATCTTTGCTTCTCTTTTTTCCAGGCTTATCCTCATTTCTAGCACACTGCTTTGCACTTCTCTTCCTCGTCTTTCTCTGTATTCCTTCATAGTCACACTTGCACATTTACTTTGCTTTGAAAGTCACTCTTCTTGCTGTCTCCTTTCCCCTTTTCTGTAAGGTTCCATTAAAGTACTTATCTGTAAAACAGTAAACCAATAGGACTCTCCAGCCTCAAAAATACTACTTTTTTCTACACAGCATCCTAGAGCAAAGAAAGTATGTGAACTAGACCAGTGATTTCAACTTTTTTTTTCATTTGTGGACCCTTAAAATTTTTCTGAATGGAGGTGTGGACCCCTTTGAATTGTAAGTGTGGGGAGTCGCATACATTTGACTGATCATAGTCATCTTTCATGACCCCTTTCATGACCCATGTCCACATTGTCTGTGGACCCCAAGGAGTCCACATACCACGGGTTGAAAACTACTGAACTAGGCCAACATACTCAAGGGTGAGATTGCCATGCTCTTGAGGTCACTTTCATACACCTCTATTTTCATATTAAACATTTGTATATTTCTGATAACTTGATGAAAATTTGTAAGTATATCAGTTCTTTTTGCATGTACTACTTTGACTGCCAAATTCTATCAGATTGAAATTGTTTTCCAAAATTTATGAAGATATTATGCTTTGAGGACTGGGTCTTAGTCCAGTGCACTCCTCCTGCAGACTAGGAAAAATAGGTCAGATGGTTGCTCTCCTCAACAGAGAAGCAGCTGTCATCATTTACAACATTTACTACTTAGAGCAAAATCAGGTTGGTGCCAACAGCAGATCACAAACTTCTCTTGATTAAAAAAAAAAAAAAAAAAAAAAAAAATGCTCCTGTCTTTTCCAAAAGTTAATACAGATGTATTTCCCTTTCTGTTTCCCTTTTACTCTGTCCCAGGGGGTACAAGCATGGGGGAGAAAGGAGCCCTGCCCATGGGGGAACCTGGGACAGGGGTAACCCAACCCCAAAGGAAAAACCCTGGAAAAGGAAAAGCTTACCTGCTCTAGGACGCTGGGAGGAAATGCCCATGTGGTTTATTAGGCATGCCCATGCGGTTTATTAGCCACGCTTATCTACAGCTGGAGCCAGGTGACGTCAGCAGGAGACGCCGCCCGGCAGAAATAAAAGCCGGCTCCGAGAATGAGCGAGTGGGGACGCTGGGAGCAGGAGAGGCTGCAAGCATCACACACGCCGGTAGCACCCAGCACCGGCAGAATCAATGAGATCCGATGCGGAGGCAGGCGTCAGTGGCAGCAGAGGCTGCGAGAGCGTCCTGCATCGGCTGCAGGCGGCACTGGTGCGCGGGACCAGAGGCGGCTCAGAGAGGAGCCGAAGACCTCAGCTGGGGTGAGGACGCGGAACCGTGTCAGGGAGATGCGCTGGACTCAGGCTAGAGTTCAGGGGGAAGAAGGGCTGTCTAGCCTGCCAACCCTCTCCTTCTTCAGTCTTTTCCTTTTTTTTTTTTTTTTTTAATGATTTTTTGCTGGTGTCCAGTTTTCTGGAGCGGTTCCTTTTTCTTGTTCTCTTTCTTTTTTCCTTACATTGGCATAGGTTCTTGTTGATTACTTTGTTGTCTATTGTTCTTGAGGTTTCAGCAAGGGAACACAGGCAGTGCCAAGGGACAACGGTAGCATACGGAGTCAACTAGAATCATCAGGCTCACCAGAGAGATGTCGCCAAGAGTGGAACATCCAGAGGCCCCAGTGTCCAAACGAAACAAAAGTAGAACCAACAGAAGAGAAAGGGGAGTGAAGGTCTGGGACTGACATCACCAGAGGGCAAGCCACATAAAGATTCTGAGGCTCATCTTGAGGGCTGGTGTATGGATGGGGTGTAGGAGAGGTGAAGCCCCATGTACATCCGTCAGGGGACGCGACAACTCTGAAGGTACTCTCAACGGGAGACCCTTCCACTGAAGATCCATCCAAAGTTGTGGCAGGCGAGTTTTGGGGTTCTGCCCAAAGTGATCGAGGGCCTCCCCAGAGGTCGCACGAAGCCCCATTGTATCCAACACCAGGCGCACGTGCCAAAGTGGCGCAGGAGTGGCTAATCAAACTGAAATGGGCACAAAGTAGGGCATTGGCTGGGAAGTGGCAGGGAGACCCAGATATTGAAGAACACAGCAACATGCAACCCGCGACCATGACTTCTCCGGATGTCCTAGGTCAAAACCTACAAGCCCTGACCCAGATCCTGGATTCCCAACAGCAAATGATGGACTGACAGCAGGATTGGCTGCAGCACAGCCTGGCTTCCTTCAAAATGCTGAAGAAGACTTGAGATGATGACCTGGAGGCCTACATCAAGGCTTTCTAACACCGTACCGTAATA